TTTTTTTGTACCTTAAGTCTGAAACGATATATTTTTTCTTCTCTCCTGAAAAGTAAGTTGTACAAAAACATGGTATATAATATGTTAACTAGGACTCGTGAAACATTTGCGGGGTCCAAACTAGCAAATGAGTTTTTCCTATTATTCTGTTGCTTCTAAACTGGAAACATAGTTAACCGCCCGGAGAAGGCCCCGCTCTTGAAAGGCCTCCACTGCCTTAGTACGGGCGAAGTTTTTCAAGGCTTGAGCTGTGACGAAGCCCAGGCTGCGGTCGCGATAGGAGGTCCTGGTGCGCGTCTCCAATTCTATGCCCAGAAAGTGATCCGTGTCCGTCCTGACCACCTTTTCCTGCGCCACTGTAAAGTCCAGTTTATATAAACACGTGGCGGCGTCTATGAAACCCGCGCCGTCTTTAGCTAGAGCAATCATACCGAAGTAAACGACGCCGGATTGTAGGTCATCTCCAAAGGAAAACTCGAACATTTTCTGGGACCACTGTTCGGACCAGCGGATTCCCCGGAGTTTCTTCCGGACGTCCTGCCCAGATTTCCGCATTTTACGGTGGATTTTCTCTATCAGCTGATCAATTTGATCGACGGTAAAATCGTGGAACTCGCTCACATCGCACCGCTCTTCCCAGTGAGAGAAGTACTCCCGCTGTAATTTCCTCTGAAGTTCGGTGGCGTCTGATTTGCAAACCTTCACCATAGACAGCCCTCTGTCTACTTTCGACAGTGCTTTGTTGTCTCCTCGTATTCCACATGGTCCGATTACTGTTTCATGGAAATAAGAGGGGGTGGCCGCAGCATCCACTCTTCTACCTGTGAAAATAGACGGATATCAAATCTTAAATTTTGATTTTACAGCACTTATTAGATTTGTTTAAACGTTCACTCTGGTAGCTTTTCCTTTACTTCTTATGTACTATTTACATTGGGATTTTAGCGGGCAGGCAAAATTGATTGGCGAATGTTAGTTTTAAAACACTCGCTTCACATAATCGAAAAACGTTGCTGTCACTTTCACTTTCAGAAACAATGTTCTGAATGTTTCAGACACAACATAAACAATGATTTTTGAAATCATTCCGGTATCTAAATAAAATATTAACCTACCTTGTCGTTCGTATGAAGTGCTAGAAGAGGTTCCTCCCATTGTAAATTATTTGTAAAAACTGGCTCTCAGTACTGGCACTTCTTTCCTCAGACAGGAGAAGAATACTGCTATCTCTGCGACCTTCAGACACTGAGGGACACTGGCGCCTCTATCGGTGGCGATGTTGAAACCCGCTGTAATACTAATAGTGTAGGCAGTAAATTTAAAGTCACAAATTCTCCTGACTGGGTCACATCTCTATAAAGTCTTCTGTTGTAACGTAGGAGTCCAATGCTGTGCATACGAAACCTGGAAATCCCACTTTCTGAGTCAGGAATCGTCTTGGAATTTCCAGGGGAATTCCCCAGATATCATTATATATCATATAATTTCTATTTTGATACTACATAAACATGCAGAAAATTTTTTACAGAGACTGTGTGCACAAATAAATGTGTGTTTGTGTTTGTGTGTGTGTGTGTTTGTGTGTGTGTTTGTGTGTGTGTGTTTGTGTGTTTTTGTGTGTTTGTGTGTGTGTGTTTGTGTGTGTGTGTTTGTGTTTGTTTGTGTGTGTGTGTGTTTGTGTGTGTGTTTGTGTGTGTGTGTTTGTGTGTGTGTGTTTGTGTGTGTGTGTTTTTGTGTTTGTGTGTGTGTGCACGGTTTTACGAGGTACAAATACGCGTGTTTCGAGGGTATATATCAGTACGTAGGTGGACGTTCATATTGTGAAAGTAGACTTTGTGAATTTAAGCAGATAGATATAAACACAGCAAAGAACTTTCTGTTTTATTTTGACTTTTAGTGGATAATAGGAGTGATTGATAGTCACGTTTATTTACGTTTCTCTTATACCATACAAATTGAAAGAACTGAATATCACATTTCTAGATGATTCATTGTAGGTTACCTAGCTGTGGAAGGCACTGGTCTCAAAACCTACATTTCGCAGAGAACGTCTTTAATACCACTATGATAGCACTGAGGATTATGTATCCATTTTACCCGTTGCTTTCTCTTGTGTCAGAAGATTTTAGGTGCTTTCGTTTTACACGTTGGACAAGGGATACCACAGGAAAGTGCACTTTCTTAAATTATCGCATTGTGATTGAGAAGCTGCCAAACTTCAAGCAGCAAAGCATTGTGTCAGAGATGCCAGAAATATTGGTGCACCGTTTTGCTGAATAATTGTGACGCGTTTTTAATTCTTTTTTTTTTCTTTTTTTTCTTTAACATAAATTGATAGTGTTTTGTTATTTAAGACAGCGTGGTCTTATAATGAATAAAAATAGCAATTTGCAAGTCACTGAATTCTGACATGATCTGCACGCGTCCATGTCAGAATGAAAACCTATTTATTTCAGACTTTTTAATGGAACTAATTCGACATTTTAAAACTTAATTAGAACTCTGTCCTTTATTCTTGTTTGGATCATTAAGTATGAAATGATGATAATTCATAATCAGCCTGCATGAAGTATCTCAAAGTTATGATGGCGTGTGGGTTATGACTCATCTTTCTGCAAGATTTGCCACAAATAATTCATAACAATGCTTAAAGACGTTACACCTCTGAATTGCCGGAAATAACGATGAAGTTAAGCGCTTAAATTCCCTATTGCTACATGATCAGAAATCTGAAATGAAAGTGGCACCATACTATCAGTTTTCACGTTATTTCACTCTGATGACTGAGCAAACCTCAGCAAGGACGCACGCATCATACTATGGAGCGGTGTCACAGCAAGCACAGGTGTAGCATTTGTTCTGCTGACGGCATCAACCTTCACTGATATTTCTAAATATCCACTTATCTTTATTTTATATCTCTACTGGCACTTGACTGGGTTCCTGTTTTGACCGAAGTAACAATTCTATCCCAAAATATGCTGTTATTACTTTCATTTCAAGAAATAAGCACTTTTCAATTTGTCTGTTATGTAACTTGAAAACATCAGTTTCACTCCTATAAGAATGGTAAGAATAAGAATAAGTATGGTATTGTATTTTATATTTCATTGATCAGAGAAACATACACCGTTTTCGATGTTTGTATATCTTGATTCATACACTTGCTGATAAAGAAACCTATACAATAAAAATATACTATAAAAATAAAGAGAAAACTATAAATATATAGAGAAAATATTTAAAATAGAGAAATCTAGACAAACAGAGAAAACTCTAACTATATAGAGAAAAATATAAATATATAGAGAAAACTATAAAAGTAGAGAAAACTGTAAAAGTGTAGAGAAAACTACAGCCATATATGCTCTGTTCCAGTGGTATGGGACGGTCACAATGTGTGGGATCAGAGAGTTCATCTCTGTAACGCTGAGGTAACTTGTAATGAACCCCCCCCCCCTTAAAATTTGATAATAGTTACTAATGAATTATTTACAGGGTTCTTTAAGCGCATGGCAAATAGGGTTAAGGATACACAGTCGGGTCCTGTCGCAATGACCCGTATAGGGTTCGATGAACAGCGTCTCGCTCACCCATCTTAGACCCCGGGTGAGGGGAGGGTTCTGCACTAACGCTGAGCCAAGACCTTCCGTCATTTTCTCAAGTAATCGATGACTGGGAGAGGCGATGTTGAAGAGGAGTTTGCTGTGTAAGCACACCTGGAACACTGTGTGATATGGTGAGGAAAGTTGACGAAATATATTATTGATGGACTTGTATGCGTTACGCACTGGAAACTTCAATGATCGGTATATTTTAGGGAGAGGCAGAGGAGGAGGCTGGTAAGGCAGGCAGGAGGGCGTGGCGGGTTCAAAAATACGTGGTGAGGGGAAGAAATTCTGAAAAGGGAAGTGCTCCCTACCAAACAGTGTTTAAAAGAAAATTTTAAAAAGCATATTAGTAATCAAAATCAACCTATTTTGTTAGTTAACACTTTTTTCTGAGACTTCTCCCCAAAATTACCCATTGCCGTGTCAACATTTATAGGATCCAGTTTCTCCGGAGGAAGGACGTGTCTTA